CAAATGAAGAGTGTCTCCCTCCTGCTTGATGATGTGCGTGACCACCGTGGACGTTGCAATCTTCCGTTTCAGGTACGGTACGCCTTGCACGCTCAAAAACTCTTCGTAATTCACGTTTTTGCTCGGGACCGATTTCCACACCCCGCTGTAATCAAGCGATTGGCTACCTTGAGGGAGAACCGCCCCCTTCCCTCCCTCCTGCCCCCTTCCATTCTCTCCCTCTTTCTCCTTGGCCTTTTGCTGCTCCTGTCGATGCTGAGCTTCTTTGAACCGGGCTGCTTGCAATTGCTCGCGCTCGAACACCACCAAGTAGGCGTCCTCGGCAACAGCGATGGCCGACGACGTTTCCGGCTGGTATTGCCGGTGCAAGGTCAGCACGAGACAAATGACGCCCATGGTGTAGATCTGGGTGAGGATGGGGTGAGAGGCGCACGTCAAGAGCGAGCAAGAAGACAGATTACAAGGAAGAGGGAAGGAAGCAGGGAGGGAAGGAGGGGGGAGGGAGAGGCAAGGGGTATACCGGCAGAATGGTGTCGACGGCGTGGTTCAGGTACCCCGACTGGTGACTCAAAAGGAGCGCAATTGGAGCAATTGCGTCCATGACTGATGAGTAGACCCTGAGGCTTGACAGATGTGACCAAGGCTGAGGGAGGAAGGAGGGCTACCGACTGAAAGTCAGCTTTTCTCCTCTTAGGCAGAAATTCGTTTCGGAGTACCAGGGAAGGCTCGACACCGGCAATCACGAGTACCTGTTGCCGGGGACGTGCTTGGAGTTGTTTTTCTGAATAGTGGGAAGAAAGATGACTGGAGGCGTGTACATGTGGCTTTTAGGACGGACGTGAAACGAGAGCTTGGCCCATGCTGCCGCCACGAGGATTCTCGATGACAGGCGGTCAGGGGGTGTTAAAAAAAATGATAGCCACCTGGACGCCCCAAAAACAGTAAAATGTCGATTTTCCACGCTAACGAAGCACACAAGGCGATACAGCAGTGCAATTCACGCATCCCCTTTCACAGATGGCCGCACACCCTGTTGGTAAGCGGGACCTACCAAATACATCATGCTGGAGGAACGGGTGTATAGAAAAGTGTGACAGGACGCAAATTTATCACACTCCTCCACTCCCTGGGCACACAAGTAAGTTGTGAGATCATACAATACGCGCCACCCAAAAGCTATTGAAGGATTTTATGTGACTGGGTGCTTGTAACAATCGGCTTGAGGAGCCCTCCCAGGTCACTAGGCAGTGTAGCCCCCGACCGATCCCACGTCCTCCTGAGACTTCGATATCATTCCCTCTATGCTTCTTATAAAACAAGTTTTAAGGTGCAGTGTGGACGAATGTTTTACTTCTTGATGGTAACCAGTGTTCTTTTCTTTTTTCGCCGCTTTCTCATTCTGGATACTCACCCCTTCGACAAGCTTGCGACGCATCCAAGGTTATCAGCACACACTATCTTTGCCCCAAGCCCTGGCCCTCTATTTCCGCTTGCTTCGACTATCGTCCCTCCATCGACTCTTCTTCTCATCTCTGTCCCTTCCGCCTTCCCTGCCTCCTCCTTCCTCTTCCCTTTTCATCACCACGGGCCCCAATGGGAGGTTTCCTCCATTGGCTGTGCCGGCCATGATTTTCTGGTTCCAAGCCTCCGCATCCAACTGGGCTGTGAACCTCTCCTTTGCCGCCGCTTCCTCCTGCGTGTCGAGGGGGATGGGGACGGAAGAGGGAGAGGGGCCGGGGCGGGCATGTGTCGCGTGCGACCGACGGCTCTCCTTCCTCCTCCCCTCCCTCTTCCCTCGGCTGCTCCGGCTCGACGGCCGAGGCGAAGGGGAAGAGGGTGGGGAGGGAGGGTGGAAGGGGAAGGACGCCGGCGGGGGGTAGGACGGGTAC